TTTTCTGATATTTCCCAAAAAACTTGATCCTCATTGGTTTGATTGCCTATAGAAATGGTTTGGATATGTTGTACCAAATGATCTGGTAAGAGTTCCTTTAGTTTGTTGATGTTCCATTGACCATCAGCTATGAACTCTCCAACCAAAATTTTAGCACTCTTTGGACTATCAGGTACCAGCTTAGCCAATGGTCCCTTAAGAGACCAATTATCCCACCAAAAGCTACTTGATCCTGAATTGACCTGCCAAACAATATGATTCTCTGCAATATTCCTTATTTCGAGAACATGATTCCAAGAATGAGAATCACCTGGAGCCAACTTTTTTGAGACCAAATGGGATCTCACACAGTATTTGTCACTAATGAATCTAGCCCAAAGAGATGATGTGGATCTTATCCTCCACCACCTTTTCATAGCTAACATGTTACTAATATCTTCCAATTTCTTAAGACCTATGCCTCCTTCATCAATAGGGAGAGCAAGATGGTTCCAGAAACTCCAATGATACCTCTTGTGTTCCTCCAAGGTACCCCAGAAAAAATTATTGCAAAATATTTCTCAATTAGTCTAAATACTCCTTTAGGGGGAGTCATAGCAGAGAGAGTGTAGACAGGGATAGATTGGAGGACACTCTTAATCAAAGTAGCCTTACCACTATGAGAAAGCAACTTGCCTTGCCAGCCATCTAGCTTTTTAACAATCTTACTAATCATGTTATCAAAAAACTCTATTTTTTTCCTTCCCACATACAGAGGACATCCTAGGTAAGTAAAAGGGAAAGTCTTGTCCATAAAGCCTGAACACTTTCTAATCCTGTTAATTCTAGTTCCAGCAGTATTAGGAGTAGTCAAGAAATAGTTTTTATCCCTATTAACCAATTGACCCAAGCTTCTTTCATAACTACTAATAATCTTCATGACCAATTTAACAGAAGTAGATCCACCACTATAGAATATAACAATATCATCAGCATAAGCTAGGTGGTTAGTTCTAGAAACATTAGGAGACATAGAAAAAGGAATGAAATTAGGATTTCTATAGAGAGAGTTAAGAGACCTTGATAAGACCTCAGCAGCAATTATGAAGAGTTGGGGAGAGAGGATCCCCTTGCTTAAGCCCTTGAGAAGAAGAGAAGAAACCATATTTCTTACCATTTAGTATAACAGAGTACCACACATTAGAGATAAGATTATGAACCAGACCAATCCAATTTTCTGAAAAGCTAAATTTTCTAAGGACAGCATAGATAAAATCCCAAGCCATTCTATCATAAGCCTTAGCCATGTCAAGTTTAATAACAACATTACCACCATTATTTTTATGAGTAATATTGTGAATAATTTCTTGGGCTAACAGAACATTCTCCGAAATTAGCCTATCTTTAACAAATCCACTTTGATTCAAGGAGACTAACTTATGCAATAAGGTGTTTACTCTCAGAGAAACAACTTTTGAAATAATCTTATTTGTAAAATTAGATAGACTAATGGGTCTAAAGTCAGCAAAAGTAGCAGGATTGTCAATTTTAGGAATTAAAACTAGACAAGTGTGAGAGTAGAATTTGGTCAAACCTTTTCCTTTGAAGAACTTTCACAACAGCAGTGACTTCCTTTTTTATTATGTCCCAACAATTTTGAAAGAAGGTGCCATTGAAGTCATCTGGTCCTGCAGTGCTGTGAGGGCTAAGGCTAAAAACTGCATCCTTGATTTCATTATCCTCTGAAATTTTGCTCAGCATGTTGTTGTCATCACTTGAGATGAAATGAGGAATACAATCCAGAATAAAATTGTTGATCGTAGGAGGAGTAAGGTTGAAGATTGATTGGAAGTGCCTAAAAGCTTTCTTGGCTATCTTCTCATCTCCCCTGATCCATTTTCCTTTACTGTTTTTGATGCGATTTATCTGTTGCCTTCTTCTTTTCTCTCTGAGGATAGAGTGAAAGTATCTAGTATTCTTTTCCCCTTCTTCGAACCACTGTGATTGAGATTTTTGTCTGAGCATGGATTCTTGAAGATTGAGCCACCTAACATATTGAGCATGAGCCTTGTTGACATCTTCTCTACTTTTTTCCGAGTTATCTTCAATATCTATGTCCTCTAGCTCTTGGAGTTTGTCCTCCCAATTTGTAACAGCTTCATTGATATCCCCAACTTCATTCCTAGACCATTGGGAGAGCCTTTTACTAAGAGCCTTGAGCTTATTTTGAAGAATCCACATAGGATTCCCAGACACTTCAGTATTCCAAGCCTCCTTGACAATGTCATGAAAACCTTCAATGTTTGCCCAGCAATTCAGAAATCTAAAGTAATTAATATGCTGATGATTACCAACCAAGTTCTTCATAAGGAGTGGTCTGTGATCTTAACCAATCCTTGCAAGGTGCCTAACAGAACATTTTTGAAACAGTTGATCCCAGAGGTCATTAACAAAGATTCTGTCAAATCTTTTCCAAATCCTCTTTGCAGGTCTTCTGTTGTTACACCAAGTGTAACTAGAACCATGCAACGTCAATGAGACCACAATTGTTGATACAAGTTTGAAACTCCAAGCTTCTATACATTCTATGAGGCTTGCCCCCAAGTTTTTCATTAGGATCCATAATAATGTTGAAATCCCCCCTATGCACCAAGGAATATCAATCACCATATTGTCTTGTTCAAGAGACTGCCAAAGGTCTCTTCTGTCTTTGGATTTGCATTTAGCATGCACGGCAGTAATGCAAATATCCTGCATACCAATGTCATTGTTGATTTTGATAGTAATGTGTTGATCACTGGAGGCAGTAACTTTGGAGGAGTTGAATGCATTCCAAAAATACCAAATTTGACCATTGTTGTTGAAGCAACAATGTTGCAATCCTAAAAATTTCCTGTAGCTATCTAATTTTTCTTTTGAAACAAAAGGTTCAAAGATAGCCACGTATTGAGTGTTATTGAGGTTGATCAGTTTCTTTAGCCTGTGAATGGCTTTTTTGGATCTAACTCCCCTAATGTTCCAAAATAGAGCACTAATCATTGAAACTATTAGGGGTGTTGTCCTCTGTTTGATTCCTTCTCAATGAAGGTTGAGTCTTGTTCCTGTGTCTTTTACCACTTTTCCTTGTTTCACTTCTCCCTCTCTTTGTATTTTGTTGTTGATCATCAGTAAGAGTGTGGGGATCTTGATCTTCCTTTCTCAAATCATGCTGGTTGCTAACTTGCTTAGTTTCTTGAAAACTATCTGAGCTATCACTCTCCTGATTAGTGTTGTTGCAGTCTTCCTTGTTCTCATATAAGTCCACGACCAATTGAAGCCCTGACTGATTCCTTATCTCCGTAGGGACAGTAGAAGAGCTAGACTCACAACACTAATCCAGCTTTTCTATCCCCTCAATTCTGTTCTCTTGACTGACTTGTCTGAGGCCATTCTGCATTTGTTGATCTTTTTCTATATCAAGCTCATTGGCTTCAGAAAAGGTTTAGTTGTTGTTATTCTCCTCTCTCTGATCTTGCTGCAAGGTTTTGTCTTTTGTAGCAGGGCTTAGGATACTTTCTTCTATGGATTGCTTTAAGAAATCATTTTGTTTTGCTACGGAATCAGACTTTTCTCTTCTTTTGCTGCTGGCTGGTTTGAATAGCACTTTGCTCTTCTTTTTTGGCATTTTCTTAGTCTTTTTTTTTCTTGGTCTTCTTTCTGCTCTCTTTTTTGATTTTGAGTTTGTCATCTTCAATTTGTTGATTTTGAGTGGACTCTGAATGGTTTGCTGGAATGCTTCCCTCTTCCCCTGTGGATAGCTGAGGGTCTTTATCCTGAATCTGAAATTCTTCTTCTTCTTTGTTTTCAGCTTTCTTTTTTTCAAGAGCCCTACAATTGATCATATAATGACCAATTTTCCTGCAACGTTTGCAATATTTTAAGACCCTTTCATATTCCAACTTTTGAGTGTAACCTTTGAGAGGTGAATCCTCATACTCTTGTCCAACAAAAACACTTTGAGGTAGAGGCTTCAGCAAATCCACTTCTACCCGGATTTTAGCCATGCTTGGCCTTGTTCTACCCATAGTGGCAGCATCCAAAGCTAGAGGAGTATCGACTGAGCTTAGAAGTTGTTTTATGTAGTGCCAATCATGCATATGGAAGGGAAAGCCGGGCAATAGGACCCAAGCAGGAGCCACCGGAAGATCCTCCTCTGGTTTGAAATCTGGAGACCATTTTTGCAACCACATTTGCATTCCGTCAATTTCAATGACTCGCCGGAACCACACTGTTTTCCAATCATCCTCGTTGAATAGATCAATAAAAATATTGTGATTATCAAAAACCCCAATTCTTACTGACCCTTTTAGAGGAATAATTTCTTTAAATCTAGACCTGATTCTGTCAATTTGGGACGGGGTCTAAGAAATCGACCCACAATCGTAAATTTGCAAGATTCTGCCATAATCCCATAATAATCAGAAGCTTTGAAGATGACTGCAGGCATACCATTGTGAGTTGTGTGTCTAGCTTTCACCTTCTCTTTCTCTTGTTTGAAATCAGCCGGAGAGGAGCTTGATGGGGATGCAATTTTATCAGCATATGAGGGTTTTCCTAGGGGATTTCCTTGCATGTGAGAAATCTCCCCTTTAGACTGATTTTGTTCATCTTGACGCGCCGGTTGGAGGCCTCCCGGCGGCTCCATCTGGTGGAGCATGGTCAGAACTCTCTTGCAATAGAGCCGTTAGAGAAGAGACGTTGAGGAGAGAGAAGAGAGAATTTTTTTTAACTTTTTTGACGGTGTAATAATTTATATGCAGTTTTACTGATAACGAAATTAAGAGGAAGAACTTTTTCCATCTAACTTGCTATTTCTTAGAACATATATTTCTTTCTTTTACTTTAACTGATATAAAGCAATGTCGTTTGTCTTATTAAGAGCAAACTAATTATAACATATATAGTAAGTATTTGGTTCACAATTTTGAATACAAAATTTACACTAGAACAAGGCTATGGAAAACCGGTGACTCATTTGGCACTTAGCAGAATATTTTTTCTTAATTGTTTTAAAAACTAAATACAATATTTTAAGGAAGGAGGACATACATTATATATCAACCATTCGCTCAAGCTCTAAACTTGAGCGTGACTTCTTTTTTTTCCCTTCTGTGTGTGCTATAAAGGAAAAGATTTAGTATAAAAAAAAAAAAAAAGAATCAAAGATTAGATTTGAAAGGAACATTGGTTGCTGGCAACCAAGAACTTCCAGCAATGAAATTAGCAGGAGTAAACTTAGATGCCTCAGCTGCACTGTTAATAACTCGATAACCAGGCCAATTCACCCTGTTAGCAGTTGATGAACCAGAACCACTGTTCAAGTATTCTCCGTAGTACAACGTGTTCAGCGCGATGGTACCAGTCCAAGGCATCCAACCAGCTGGATCAATCAAACTATCTAAAAAAGTTTTCATAACAACAGTACGTGAATATTGTTGCCACGGCCTACCAAGATATGTCTTAACTGAGTTTTGGTAAGGCTTTAAATCAGAAGCAGCTGTGACTCTACAATTATGAATTGAAATTCCAGTGTTTTGGTTTGGATCACTTCTCCCTTGTGCAGTCACTGTGTTAATCCTGCTAGGCGGATTTCTAGCAAAAATATTGCAATTTTGTAACACAACTGCTGCATTCCCAAATATGAAATCGACTGTTCCATAAATGTCGCAATCTCTATAGAACTGTCTCTGAGAGTGGACATAAAGAGTGTCTTGATACCCGTCAAAGCTACATTGGTAAAATACTGAAAGATCTGAACCAGATCGAAGGGCTACGGCTTGGTCGTTTTTAGGTCCAGCAGTGTTCCTAAATGTTATGCCCTGAGCAATAAATCCGTCACCATCAACAGCTGAAATTAAGGGATTAACAAGAAAAAATAAAGATATAATTTAGCAGAGACTAGAAACGTATATAGAACTAATAACTGGACTAAAGACAGGATTTAAGTTATTCACGCATATTGTAGGCTTTAAGAGTCTGAAACGCGAAAACATGAAAAATCATTCTAATTGAGAAATATTCGTACTTGTTTTTACTTTCTTAATTAGGTTCTTCAATTTAGTAGGAGAATGAAGTGATGACTAGCTAAGTAGTTGAGAAGTGTTTAGTTCTATATCAGAGTCATGCACCTAAAAGACTAGCTAGGTAGTTGTAATATCGAGTCATGCACCTAAAAGATAACTACAATTAATGTGCATAAAAAGTGAGATTAGTAAACTAGTCATTAATACCGTCAGTTACCTGTCGTAACATGTTAAAGTATACGGATAGTGTAAATATGAAAATATACCAGCTATATTTTGTTTTACTTACCGACAGTGGCCGATTTGAAGGTGGTAGATCCTCCTCCAACACTCTTACTTCCTGTGATGATTGTCTTTCCAATTCCATCTCCAACCAACATGAGATTCTTTAAATTGAGCCCTATCTCTATATTTTCTTTATAAATCCCTATTTTTACATATATAACAAACCTTCCACTTCCTGTTCTCTTGGCAGCAGCAGTAACAGCTTCAGTAACAGTCTTGAAATTCCCTGAACCATCTTTTGCCACCACAATATTTGCTTGAGAGCCCAAATTAGACGATGACTGCAGTAATTTTCGATCGCGGGGCGATACCCAATTTGGAAAACCATCTTCATAAGTTGCACTTGGTTCAGTACTATAGTATCCTCTGTTTAAGAATAAAGTGTTACTTATTAAATATGAAACATTAATATTGGACTTCAGTATTGGCATTACATTGTCCGTGACCTCAAGTTCAATAAAACCAGACCGACATGTTTCAATGTTGGTTAAGGCTGTGCTAAGCCATGTTTGAACATCATCAGCTGTAGATTTAATAGTTGGATCAATTGTCTTATTGATTTTGACAATAATATTCTGATATAGCTCTATACAATCAGCCCATGCAGCTTTTTCATGCTTGTTACGACATTTTGAGCCAAGTGATAACGTATTTTCGTGAGCACTCAAGGCACGACCAAGGGCTAATTTCAGTGAAATCTTAAGAAAATCAGATTTCTTATTGATTATTAAAGCTCCATATTTACTATTGTGATCAGCTAAGAAATATTCACAAGGTTGAGGGTAGGGTGTTTGGCTACACCACGACTTTAGAGAGTAGCTGGGGACTGTAGGGAAAACAAAATAGGACACGAGTAAAAGTGAGAAAACCAAATTTACTGCCATTTTTATGGACTCCAGGCAATAAAAGAAAGCTCGAAAAAAGCTTTTGAGAGCCAAGTGTGGCTTCAAGGTTGGTTACTTGCTTTTGATTCCTTTATATAGTAAGGCACGAAAGATTACGTGATAGGTATGTACCATCAAACTTTCAGTTCTAGGAATAAAATGGAGCAGACAATAATAATAGTTGTAACAACTAATTTTGGCATTATAACTCGGTATTAAGGTTTGGAATTCTTATTAAAAAATGATTTTAGATCCCAGTTACTAACAGTTGATGTCACTATCCTAGAGTTTAGAACTCATAAAGTTTAAATCCTAGATTCACCATTTGCTGGAACACTTCTATATATGTCTATGCTTAGCTTGTATTGTTATATGAGAATGAATCTTTTCTTTTAATCAGAGGAAAACCAGAATTATACTAAACATAGGTGCACGATATAATAAAACACAGGCTCAACTATGAGAATGAATCTTTGGTATGGGAAATAAGACAATGCATTTACCCTGATATATATACTTCTAGCCATTCATTATTTCATTTCTTTCTCCACAACACTTAAGTCCACAGTAAGAGGCTCCATATACTTTGAAACCTTAATTATGAGTTATGAGATTGGGTAATGATTGGATTGACACAGCTTTGTTTATTTAAGTCTTTAATTTTCACTTCATTCCTATGCATGAGACAGAAAATCGTTTTGATAAATTTGGTTTTTAAGGATCAGTTAACTCTAATTTTAGATATCCCTCTTGATGTAATTTATTTGAGAAGTGCTTAAAAATTTCTTGCTTTGCCAATTTTCATTTGTTGTGCTCCATACGGCTTGTTTTGCCATTGAAAGCTGCTAAACATTTGCATATGCTGACTACTTTGCTCTAGGTTATGATCATCTTTAGAAAGTGATGCTAAAACTAAAGTTCTAACTGAAAGACTCGATTTCTGATGCTAAAACGAGTAAAACATTTTTCTAACGAGTTATTTCACTTTTTTTTTTGTTGATGTTAAGCAGGAAAAGATTTAAATTTTCTGTTTTCTCTGTGGAAATAAATTTTATCTAGATTAGAAGAATTCCCGAAAATAAAGTTTTCCTAGCTAGAGAAATATTTCACTGGTGTCCAGAGCAGAAATGTTTCCTGGAATATCGCCTCAATGTTTAATTTACGTGAAATACATAAACGGTCCATTTAAGTTGTCCTTAACGACCGGCTGCACACCTCAGCTGAGCCTATTTTCAGCTAGACATTTCAAGCCTTTAATAAAGTAGGTCAACGAAACACTAGAGACCAACAAACCTCATGTGTCACAATTGCGGATGACATATCAAACGGACAAATTATTGAATGATACGTGTATTTGTTTTAAAAAAAAGAGATTATGTATTAACTTTTCCTAACCAAAGAACATCTGCCACCCCCAATTATTTGGTTACCGTCGCCGGCCAAACCCCCTCCATTTTTGTGTTTCTTTCTCAAAACCAAATCAAAAATCGTCCTAACCCACTTAATTGAAGATTTTCACCAGTGAAGAACCAACTACCAATTCAATTGTAGTGAAATTAGAAGGTTTTAGATGAATTTTTTTCTCAAATTTGGGGCAAAGGGAGAAGAAGGAGGTGATAATGGTTCTTTGGTGATGTAATATTGTTGGAGATGATATGCAGGACATCAAAGGACATTGATATTTGTTCTGTGAGTGATTGGTGTTTGGTCTAATGAAAAATGGTGAGAAGAATGTGTTACGGTAGATTGGTCTATGTGATAGAAGTGTATAATTAAATTGAGACTATGGACATGGTTGTGATGGTGATTGAGGATTTGTTCAGTGGAGGACTGTGACGACCCAAAGGGTCATCACCTGTTTTCTCTTTCATTCCGTGCTTCCGAGGCCTTGAAAACCTCATTTTTACTTTTTTCGATTTGCGTGCGCAGTCCGGGCGTGTAGCCGGAAAGATTATATGTTAAATTCTGTGAAAAATTTCAAAATGTGGCTTTAAAATGATTAAAGTTGACTTTGGTCAACATTTTTGGTAAACGGACCCGGACTCGTGATTTGACGGTCTCGGAGGGTCCGCAGAAAAATATGGGACTTGGGCATATGCCCGGAGTCGAATTCCGAGGTCTAGAGCCCGAGAAAAGAATTTTTCTGTGAAATTGTTTTTCTGAAATTATTAAGGAAAATGGAAATAAAAATTGATTAAAAGATTGTGGTATCGGGCTCGTATTTTGGTTCCGACGCCCGGTACAAGTCTTATATATGGTTTAAGCGCTTTCTGTGAAATCTTGTCGAAATCGGACGTCATTTGACGTATTTCGGACTATAGGTTCCAAATTTGAAAGTTTATGAAACTTAGAAGAAAACCATGTGATTTGAGGCTTGATTCTATGTATATGATGTTATTTTTGCGATTTGATCGCACGGTTAAGTTCGTAGGATGTTGTTGAGTTAGTGTGTGTGTTTGGTTAGGAGCCCCGAGGGCTCGGGAGTATTTTCGGAGGTGTTCGGGGTGGTTTTGGACTTAGGAGATGTAACAGATTTTCTGCAATTTTTGCCCAGTTATTTGCTTTTTCGCGTTCGCGGCACTCAGCTCGCGTTCGCGTACCAGTGGAATTTCCCTTCTTCGCGTTCGCGGACAAGTCCCCGCGTTCGCGTAGCCTTGGTTCCGCCTTCACCGCGTTCGCGAGCCCCCTCTCGCGTTCGCGTATAAGCAAATCCCGGACCCCCAGTTCATCCTTCTACGCGTTCGCGACTAGTACCTCGCATTCGCGATGCCTTGACTCCTTTACCCTTCGCGAACGCGGCCCCCTTCCCGCGAACGCGAAGGGCATTTTTGCCGAGTCATTTTAATACTTCAAAAACAGAATAGTTACGGGATTTTTCACCCAAAACACACGAACTCATCTTCTCCACAGCCCATAGGCGATCTTTTGAGCTCTTCTTCACCAAAGCTTCTTGGGTAAGTATTATCTAACTCGTTTTCTTCATTTTCTATTATCATTTATCAAATTCCTACACCTAAATCATGTAGTTCATGGTAAGAATTGGAGGAAAAGGGTAGAATTAGGGCTTTTCAATTTTCTTTGATTTAGACCTCGTTTTGGGGTCGAATTTGAAAAACAAATTGTATATTCGGGCTCGTGGGGGAATGGGCAACATGGAATTGGTTCGAACCTCGTGTTTTGACCAAGCGGGACCGGGGTCGATTTTGGAATTTTTGGAAGAAAGGTTGGGAATTCATATTTAGGCACTGGGTTTAGTTTGTTTAGCTATTATTAATATTTTAAGGTCATTATTTCATAGATTTGACCGAGTTGGAGCTGAATTCGAGGGGTAAAGCTACACTAGAGGCTTGAGTTGATTTTTGGAGCATTTGAGGTAAGTGTTTGGTCTAACTTTGGCTTGAGGGAATAGGAGTAGGGTCTTATTTGCTATTTGTTATGTGTCGAGTACGGTGTATAGGCATGGTGACGAGTATCTATACACTGGTGTCTAGCATGACCGTATGTCCTTATATTGAGATTATCCTGAATTGTTGTGATTCTTCCATGCTTATTTGATGATTACTATATACTGTAAAGAGCATGAGACAGAGATTACGATTACTAAACTCCGTGGAGCAATGGCTCGAGTTGTGTTACGGATTGAGGAGGTATATGATATGAAATGACTCTTTGGAGCGGTGGCTCGGATGTTAAGTGAATTATAAGTGAGAAGTATAGAAAAGAGAAAAAGTTGATGGTTACTCCCTTGCCGGGACGTGTTATTGGTTTTGTTGATTTTCTCCCTTGCCGGGATTTAACTGTTTACTTGTGTTTCCCTTGCAGGGATTTTCCATTACTGTTTGTCTATCCCCTCGCCCCCATTGGTTGTGATTGTTGATTGGGCGAGGTTGTGTTATTTATACATGGATCGGGTTGCACGCCGCAACAACTCTATATAATTGTGGATCGGGTTGCACGCCGCAACAACACTATATAATTGTGGATTGGGGTGCTCGCCGCAACAACACTGTATAATTGTGGATCGGGTTGCACGCCGCAACAACACTGTCTATTTATGGATCGGGTTGCACGCCGCAACAGTGATAGCTGAGGATCGGGTTGCACGCCGCAACAGTATTGTATGTGATCGGATCGGGTTGCGCGCCGCAACAAGCTATAGCTTAATTGTGTTTACTCCGGATTTAAGTTTCTGTTGGCTGTTCTATCCTTTAAGTTTAGACTTCCTGTCTTAACTGTTGCCTCCCCACCGCATGTTTCCCCCTCCTTTTGTAACTGCTTATTTCCTGTTTATTTTCCGCAATATATTTCATAACTGCACAGGTATCTGGTAGTCTGGTCTAGCCTCGTCACTACTTCGCCGGGGTTAGGCTAGGCACTTACCAGCACATGGGGTCGGTTGTGCTGATGCTACACTCTGTGCATCTTTTTGCATAGATTCAGGAGCAGCTTTTGGGCCTCAGCAGTAGGATTTGATCGGGAGCTGACTTCAGTCCAGGGACTTTCGAGGTATCCTAGCTGACGTTCGCAGGCCGGAGTCCCTTCTATGTTATTAGTTTGTTTTCCTCGTACCGAGACAAACATTGATGTACTTCTATTTAGACTTGTTTTTAGCACTCTTTAGTAGTTCGTGAGTTAGTGACACCAGTCTTGGGTAGAGAAATGTTAAACTTCCGCATTTGGTTTTCAGATATCTATGTTTTTAAGACTTCCACTTTATTTTAAATGACTCGTATTATTATTATTGTTGAGATGTTATCAGAAAATGTTTTAACTACTTGGCTTGCCTAGCTCCGATAGTAGGCGCCATCACGACCCCCGATGGTGGGAAATCAGGGTCGTGACAAGTTGGTATCAGAGCTCTAGGTTACATAGGTCTCGCTACTCACGGACAAATTTGGTAGAGTCTGCGGGATCGGTACGGAGACGTCTGTATTTATCCCCCAGAGGCTACGGAGTTAGGAAAAATCTCACTTTTGTTCTTTCTTGTCGTGCGATTCTGTTTCTCAATACTGATTGTCCTTCTACTCTGTTCT